GCGATGCACGGCGGATGCTGGCCGGGAACCTGCTGTGGCAGCGGCAGCGGCAGCGGCAGGGTGTCGTGGAGAGGGTAGAAGTAGTGGGCGCCGACGACGGGGCCGGTGTTCGACGGGGCGAACGGGAAGTCGAAGGCGTTGTCCGGCAATGCCACGGCGTGCGGCGCGGGCGCGGGGACCGAGAACTCGGAGGACGACGCGGCGTCGTCGTGGACGTGGCCGTGGCCGCCGCCGAGCGCGGCTATCCGCCGGTGCGCCCTGTCCAGCGTCTCGGACAGGGTGTCGTGGAGCGCATTGAGGCCGTCGAGGGAGAGGTCGTACAGGCTGCAGTGCCACGGTGTGAGCACGTCGTCGGCGCCGCACTTCTGGACTTTGAGGAGCAACCGCTGCTGCTTGTCCAGATCGTCCCGGAGTTGGGACTGGGTGTTGTGCAGCTGCCGGATCTTCTCCGGCGGCGTCGCCCGGAGCCTCGCGATGAGGTCCAGCACGGCGGCGCGGTCGGGCGGCCACGTCGTGACCTCGCCGCCCGCCACGGCGGGGGCGACGCAGATGAGCAAGGCCTCGACGCCGCACAGCGTCGCGAACTGCGACACCTTCTGCTTGAGGCCGTCCCGGCGATTCTTGAACGTGGCCTTCCGCTTCTTCTCGTTCTCGATGAGCTTCAACACAAGCTTCGTGCGAGGCATCTCGTCTCGTCTCGTCTCCTCTCGCCGGACGAAATCCAAAACCACGCGAACGAATAGCGTTGCATCAATGCATGGAGACATCGTAAATATAAAGCAAAGAGCAACAAATCTTTCACCCATGGAAACAAAATCTCGGTGATTATAAATGATTTTCCTTGATATCGGGGGCTTGCCTTTCATTCCCTCTCGTTTCCTTTCCTGACCGAAGGTGAGATCACATTCGTTGCGAGCCGCGGCGGGTGGGAAACGGGAATACGTCGCGGGCTCGCGGCGGAATGCGGCACCGTCGCCCGGCGGGCTGTAGTTGGGCCGTAGCGGGATTATGGTGGGCGTGCGGACCATGTGTTGGTTTGGGCCGGAAACGGTAGACAAAAGCGCATGCAAATTCGTGCACTATATATCATGGCGAGAAAGCTATTGGGCGATTAGTCGCGCGGAGAGGGAGGCGCGCGACTGGACACTGTCGCGCGTGGAGAGTGGCGGCGGACGCGCCGCGCGAGAGGAGGAGGGAGTAGCGAGTTTTCCATTTTTTCCCTTCCTTTTTGTTTCTGTTCGGTTGTTTTTTTCTTTTTTTCTCTTTTTTTTCTCCGTTTTTCTCGTTTCTGTCCAGTTTGGTTTTTTCTTTTTTTACGGTTTCTCTTCTATTCGGTTATTTTCTCTCTTTTTTTTTAAGATGCATGAATATAAAGTTTGTATTCGTTTTTCTAGATAATGGAATATAATATCCCGGCCTTTGCTCAAAAAGAACTACAGCCAATTATTACAAAGATCCACTCCAGAAGAGAGTGTAGTTCAAGACAAGTTGAACACACCAAACAAGACAAGAGAGGACCCAAACTAAAAAAAGCAAAACAAAATGTGGAGCTAGAAGGCCTCGTCCAGGCTTAGGACTGAAGTTCGAAGCCAATGCATAGACCAATGACAATATCCTTGCACGAAGAGATTTCTCCAAAGCAGTGGCCCCAAGGAGGATGCGACGTGGATCGCCGCCACCGCTCGTTCGGAACCGAAGCAAGGTTTTCACCCGGAGAATATGGTAGGGAAAGGAAAGAGGTATGCTAAAACAACGCCTCCGAGAAGGGGAACGACGCCAAACGGCGTCGCCGTTGTCAGCTGGCCAAATGGCTCAGCAAGGCTTTCACCCGCAATTCCCTGTCCAAACCCACACCACCAATGTCACGCCCCGAACTAGTCCCGACCGGAACTAGCCCGTGAAGCTCCAAATTAACCTGTTAATCGATACCAGTCCCAGGAAACAGTGCTGGTATCACAGGGAGACAGAATATCACAGCAACAGATGTCTCTTTATTATAGAGTAGAGGTACAGTCATGTTGGGCTGCGGACAGATCCCGAGCTCACAACTGCATTATAAAAGGGAAACGGAAGCCAGGACTTGGACCAACCAACATAGGCGCGACTTGGGAACTAAATAAATTTCCAAAACCGCGGACCGGGGAACGTACCGGGTGTACGGTTTCCCGCTCTCGCACTTAAGGACCGATTCCTTGGAATTTCATCCAAACATAAGTCAAGTACGACCACATGGGTGGAATGGAACACCCCTGGCTGAGTAACTAGCTTATCAGGGGAGCCTTGATGCCGAGAGACATGTGGATTCGCCAGGGTGGTGTCGGGGAGGACCCCTGGGCTTCCTGGCACAGTATGGTCTGGGACCTAACCTGTTGTTGGTCTGGGACCCCTCTCGTCGGCATATGGTAAACCTGTGTCGGCTTTCGAAATGCCTTGTCATGAAAGCTTGGAGGTCTCCCGACGTGGCTGATCCCCACGGGCTGGGTGATCCGGGTTAGTAATGTCGTGTGGGTAAAGTGTACCCCCTCTGCAGAGATTAACAAACTGTTCGAACAGCCATGCCCACGGTCATGGGCGGATGTGAGGTGATTCCTAGCGTAGTTTTGTTTGACTACTGCTTGTGAAATTGCTCTTGTGGGAAGGGGTTCGATGTTTGAAAAATCTGCAGCTGACGGGATCAGCTAGGCCCGGGTGGCCGTTTGAAAGTTGTTGGCCCGGGTGGCCGTTTGAGAGTTGTTGGCCGGGTGCCAATCTTGATCAATTCTAAAGACTGATACATTGCACATACTCCGACCGGACGAGACGCACTGTCTCATCCGTGTCGTTTGAGAAGCACTCAATTAGTTGTTTTTAGAAAAGAGTTCAAATAAAATCAATTGCAAAAAAAAAACAACAGCCTTTCTTTGAAGCCTGCATTAAACACTTATTTCCCATGGCTTGCTGAGTACTCCCGTACTCACCCTTGCTCTATATAAATAATCTCCCCCCCAGTTGCTGAAGAAGTTGAAGCGGAACCTGCTGATGAGGAGTTCTTCCAGGAGCAAGCCGGCTACGATGAGTTTTAGGGTTTCGGCCTAGTTCCCAAGTCGCGCCTGTGTTGGTTGGTCCAAGTCCTGGCTTCTGTTTCCCTTTTGTAATGCAGTTGTGAGCTCGGGATCTGTCCGCAGCCCAACATGACTGTACCTCTACTCTATAATAAAGAGACCTCTGTTGCTGTGATATTCTGTCTCCCTGTGATACCAGCACTGTTTCCTGGGACTGGTATCGATTAACAGGTTAATTTGGAGCGTCACGGGCTAGTTCCGGTCGGGACTAGTTCGGGGCGTGACAACCAATCCGCACAAGAAGGATCGTCGTCGGTCAACAACATTGTCCCTTCAGCGATTCGGCCAAGGCCACCGCTCACAATTGTTCCCGCCGTCGACGGCGCGCCCGCACCCGGACTCCTCCTTCCCCGCCGCCAGACCCCTTCCCCGCCTCCACATACCGCCGCCGATGACGACGCACCGTCAGCCGGATGGTGGCCTTCAACCATCGCCGCCATAGGTACCATCGTCGACAGCCGCCACCGCCACTGCCACAGCCACCACCGTCGCTAGCCACCACCGTCAGCCACCATCGCCACCGCCACCGCCACGGACACCCCCGTCCAGCCACCACCGTCCAGCCGCCACCGTCGCTAGCCAGCGCCGCCAGACGTCAGCCGTCCAGATCCGACCGGGGTGGCGCGGATCGGAGGTGCAGCGCGAAGCGCAGGTCGCCGGCATCATGGAGGAAGGCGTCACAGGCACAACGTTTACAGCCGGAGCATTGACGAGGGCGCCGCGCCTCCCTCGTGGCGGCGAGGTTCTTGACGAGGGCTGGCGTCGCGGCACGCGCCGCAGTCCGCCGCCGTCGTCGCCAACTTCGTCGCCGCCACATCCGCCACCATCGCCGCCGCTAGCCACCCCCCTGCCAGGTCTGCGGAGCGGCGCCGGCGTCGACCGAGCCCATCGCCGTTCACCCCGGCCAAGCGGGGAGACCAGATCTGGCGACGCCGTCGCCCGTCGCTGGAGCCGCAGAGAGCCGACACCGAGCGCCCCACCGCCGCGCCCAACGCCGCACCGTCCCCGTCGCCATGACCTCGCCGTCCCGCCGCCATCGTCGCCACGCCCGCGCCGGGCCGAGGTGGAGCCGAGGAGGATGGCCCCGCCGCCGCCATCCCAGCGCGTCGCCCGGCTTTGCCGGCAACGAGCTCCGGCGGCGAAGCACGGAGGAGGGAGGAGGAGGGGCGGCGGCGGAGGCTAAGGTTCCGCCCCCTAGGGGCGGCAGAGACTGTTGCAGAAGAAAATGTTTCCTCGAGAAACCAAAGTTTGTATTCGTATGTATGCAAAGTTTGTATTTCGTACGTATGCAAAGTTTTTATACGTGATGTATTTTCTAGTTTGTTTTTTTTAATACGTATGTATATAAAGTTTGTATATATCGTATATAAATTTTATATAAACTTTGTATATGTCATATATAAACTTTATATATGTGTATATATTTTTTATGTGTTAAAAATATATTCATAATATATATATAGACACACACGTATATGTATACTATATAAGACAAGTATGTGTATATATAGTATATATATACGTATATACATCTTAGATGTATAGGAGATACAGATATGGATGTGTTTGGTTACTTGTATGTCTCTGGCCAGGCTCGTATGACTCATCCTGGTTGAGATTGGCCTGGATAGGATGATGCAAATTGAGTTGTTTGGTTGCCGTATCAGCCTAGCCTGTATAATATAAGATGTTGTTTGGTTGTTGTATAAGAAAGTGTTGCATGGGGGTGATTTTGTTTGATTGGTTGTATAAAATTAAGTTTGGTACCTCCTCCTTTTTAAAGGTGAGATTACCTCCCTAGTCCCTACCTATCATGAATAAATGAAAAAAATATAATTAAACTATATCAAATCATCTCATTATCTCAGTTAAATTAATTGTGAAAAATCTGCACATGAATGGATCGGATAATCATCAACCAGGAAAAAAAGATGCTTGAGTACAGTATTAAGCCGGTGGTTACAACTTGACAGGTTACAAATGATTGATCGGTTAGAGAAAACAGAACAAAGAAAAAGAAAAATTATTTGCTCTCGCCACACTTGTTCCTATCGCCGCCGGACTCCTCGCCGCAAACAACCGCTCGACCCTCACCACGACTCCGCCGCGTACCTCCCCACCAGATCCATCGCCGGCCTCCCTACCAGATCCCGCTGCCCCCTTGATCCCCACAGGATCCCACCACCCACCCGGACCTTGCCACTCGCCCCACCGTCGAAGATCCGGCGGCCACGAGCTCAAGGCCACTCAATCCGGTCGATCTGGAGAGAGAGAAACGAGGAGAGTTGACAGCTGTCGGGAAGATGATGGTGGCTTCGATGAGGAGAGAAGGAAGATCATGGCGATGATGACGATGGAGCCCCTCCTTCGTCCAGATCCGGTGTCTTCTGTCAAGCTTCTTCTTTTTCCTCAAGCCCCTTCTTTCCCAGTCGGCAAGATCACGTCGGCATCCTTGGAGGCGAACGAGGAGAAATTTAACAATATGCCACTCCATAGGAGTGGATTTAACAGAATGCCACTGCATAGAAATGACCTTATAAAAATGCCACTTCATATAGGGTGTTTCTTAATGAAATGCCACTTTAGGGTGATTAGAGGCTTTTAATTGTACTTTGAAGTGATTAGAGAAATTTAATCGCACTTTCAATCACATAAGCCGAGCATGCCTCCTTCAACGTCGAGCTCGGCGCCTTCGGCCTCGCCAGGCTCGTCAGCAACGGTCGCCGGTCGGCGCTACCCTTGGACGCGACGGACGGGGAGCTCGCCGCCGGACTCCGCCCCTGCATCGGCGTCCTCTTCTCTCGCGATACCATGCTGGGGATGGGGGACGGGGCAGCGGCGGGGAGGGAGGACGCTGCGAGGAGGAGGAGAGCCGGAGTCGGAGTGGGGCCACCTGGTCGTCGTGGGGGCCGGTGAGGTCGCCGTCGATAGGGAAGGCCCCAAGCGGAGAGCGCGGCGGAGAGGGAGGGCCCCGAGCGGCGACGGCGTTGGGGATAGGAGGGGATCCCGGCGGCGGCGTCGGCGTCGGGGCCACCACCTCATACGCCTCCCCCTTCCCCTTCCCCTTCCCCTCATCCGCCGCCTCAGCCACGGCCCCCGCCCCTGCGCCTCGCCCCCGCCGCCGCGGAGGTCGTAGTCGTCGTTGTCGTCGCCGCCACCAGCGTCGGCTTGCGGGGACGAGATGCGGAGCAACCAGGCGACAGCCCCTGCCTCCTTCTCCGCCATCTCAGCCACGGCCCCCGCCCCTGCCCCCGTCACCGTGCACGCTCGCCGCCGCCTCAACCTCCGCGCTCGGAGTTCGCCGGAGGTCACCGCAAATCACCCCAAAAAAATCCGCTAAAGGGGAGCGCGTGGAGTTGGATCGGAGGGGAGGCGGCCGGGAGGGAGAGGGAGCCGAGGAGGCGCGGGGTGGAGATGAGCTTGACGGCGAGGCCCGGGCGGAGCACCTGGAGGTGGCCGGCGAGGCGGAGGAAGGCCGGGATGTGTGGCCGTGCGCGAGGAAGGGGAAGAGCACGACGTGCGGGCTCCTCGCCTCTAATTTCTCTAAAGTGGCATTTTATTAAGAAACATCAGTGGTATTTTTATAAGGTCATTGTATGTGATGGCATCCTGTTAAAGCCACTCCATAGGAGTGGCATATTGTTAAATTTCTCCAAGAAGAGAGGGGAAAGAGGATGGGAAAGGGGCAAATGAGACAGGGGAGGTAGCGGACTGCAGGGGCTGCATCACGTGAGGCACCCGCGCCTGCGTCTGCTCATCCAGGCTGAGGAGCGAAGCTCATTCCCCGCGTTTCTCTAGGGCCTGGGGAGGGAATCTTGCATCCGCAGGGCCTAGCTGAGATCTTCGAACAGGCAACCAAACAACTCAAAGTTGCATGGGCGGCTACGAGCCAAGACTCATGCAGGCAACCAAACACACCCATAGAGACTATGGGGGGGGGGGGGGGGCAACTGACCGCGCGTGCCCCACGCGCGCGGCTGATCACGTAATGGAGTTCCCAATTATTTTTTTTTGGTAGAAGTAGAGCTGTAATCGTTTAGGTGCGCTTCAGCTCAGGAGAGGTGAGTATTATACCGTGAAGAACCCGATTATTTTGCAAGTACACTATAGCGTGAAGTTCCCAATTATTTTGTATGTGCACTATAGGTGAGGGTGTATACGAGAAGCAAGGTGCAATCAAAACTAGATCAGAAATTCTAGATTTCTGACATTCTTAAATAATATTAATGTGAAACAATCAAACAAATACTTCCTCCGTATCAAAATAAATCAACCTAACCTAAGATAAGATATGACATGTGCTGACCTTCTCCCCCTCCCGTTCGCCCCATTTTGCCCACGCCACCATCACCGATCCACCGACTGCCCTTATCCACCCGCCGCCCAGAGTCCTAGAATTACCGGGCACAGATGAAAGCCCTAAGAATCTCCAAAGAAACACCGGACAAAAATTGCTAGGGGGCAATGAATTAAGGGCTAGTTGTTTCCCTGCAGTCTTAATAAAAACTAAGACGCATGGGTCGCACCTTAGTTTTTGCAACATTAATTAATGAATGTTTTCGGATCAAACCAACAGAGGTTACATGGATTCGAATTCAATGGCAAAGCCAGCATCTAGCATCGTTTGCCACAAGACTAATGTTGTAATTGTTTACAGCTAAAGCTTGGACTGGTACAGCTATTACAGCTAAAAGCCTAAAACTTCTGAGGTGTTATGTACTGCAGTAGTAGGAAATCCTAGTACATGCTTGTTACAATGAAATTTTATACTTCAAAACGTGAGCCTTCACTAGAGTGAAGGGGCACTATGGATAGCTCATAGCTTGTACAACTGGCGGACCAACTCCAGGGCCTTATGGTCCTCTGCACAAAGGGCAATAATTTAGTCAAATTCCAAGGGAACCATATGAAGCTGCAGTTCCTTATGCTGTGACCTGTGAACCTGTGAGAAGTCCATAGCCACCAAGTACTATCAGCTTCTGAGTTAGCTCCATTGCGACGTTCTACATTATGAATGCTGTTCATGTTTAAAGCTCTAGTCAAAGGGCATCTTTTGTCTTTTGTTCATCTACTGTTTCTTGGACAATGCGAGAACTTTTGCCAAGTTTGATTTGGCAGCATCAAGCAGCGGATCAGATTGCAGAGACTTCTCAAAACAGCTAATAGCTTCCTCATAACGGCCCTCTGCAATAGATACAAGCCCCAGGTTGTTGTTGGCTGGGGCATGTCCAGGACATAGTTCCAACGACCGCAGTAGCATCCTTCTTGCAAGTTCATACCTCCCATGCTGTCGGTAAAGAATTCCAAGATTGGAGAGGATTGCATACGACTGCTGGCTTGAAGACAGGATGAGTGCTCGTTTATATACAGTCTCACAGGATGAATCGTCTGATAGTTGCAATGCAATACCTGTGACAACACGAATTTATTTTCAGATAGCAATCATATGGTGCATAGTTAAATTACAGAAACGTAAACGAGAGAGACTCAGTGAACTAATAATGTTATGGTTATTTAGTTTCTTTGTTGACTAGGGGAATGGCTCAGGAATTTCTGAAACAGATTAGATAGGTAGTTAAAAACAAGATGTACGCTGGAATTTTTATTTTATTTTTTTAAAAAAATGAAGATTGCAGTAATTCGAACCAGGTAGCTATATTTGTTTCGCACAAACTAGTGGGATAGCAAGGATTAGCAGTAGCTTGGCATTGATTTAACCAGGAAGTTGCGCACCAACCACTTACACTTAGGTGATGGTGACATTAACTCATAAGTCCCACAAAATGAGCAAGGCTCAGTTCCTGAACCAGGTAAGAATTTTTTTTTTTTACCAAATCATTGCAGGGGAGTCCCCCGCAGTATATTTTATATATTAGAGAGAAAAATAGTTAATCACAAAAAAGAAAAGTATGTTAGCAGGTCACATTTAGGCTTCCAGTGGTGAGCATATAATAACATCTCAGTCTACCAATTTAAAAGAACTATCACTTCCATAGAATAGTTTAGACTTGAAATATGATTGTGATGTGTAAGTGCAACAAAGCTCAAAGAGTGTGGAAGAACCTTGGTATAACTCATTGTTCCAATGTGGTGGTTTATTTGACTATAGAGATATAAACAGGATTGAACTAGATCAAAACTTACCAAGATTTGACCACACATAGCTGCAATCTGGCGAACGAGCTACAGCAGCTTTAAGGAAATTTACCGATCGGCTAAACTGAGTGGTGCAAATATTGTACAAACCAAGTTGATGCCATTGAACAGCATCATCTGGGTCCTCTTGGATAGCCTGCAAATAAGAGGTAAAAATAAGACAACAGCATCATTTTAAACTTACCAGTTCAGATTTAGGTCAATTTAAGTATCAGTGGTACTTTGCAGGTCATCACCTGTTTTAGTGTATAAAGAGCTCGCTCTTCTACATCACTCAGATTAATTTGTTCAGTATCATAAGCAGCAGCGATTTCATGCTGTGCCCTATGAGCCATTGCCAACCCTGCCCATGCAATTGGGGCATCAACTGCTGAAGGGTCTCCTTCTTTTAGAACTGTTGCCATTTCATTTGAAGCCCAAAGAAGTTGATCATCAGAACACTGTGATCTGACAGCATCTCTGATTCGGTGAACTGCAATAGCATACCGAGCGGGCATATGACTGGGTTCATGCTTTGCTGCCTGCACAGAATAATCCAAAAAGTTATTTTTTAAAAAAAATCTCAGATCTGTCTTTCCATGTATGTCTAAGCCTTGACAACATATGCCACCATAAAATGCAACAGAGGGTCGCAGTTGTGGGGAAGATAGTACTTAAGTTTGTATTCCATAAGCTCGTAGACATAAAAAATAAACAGCTCAGACTGGCAGTAGCCAGGAAAAGAGGAGTAAAAGTATGGTACACAGTAAAAAAAAACTAGGCCCAAGGGGACATCCCGAAGATCTTGCATTTAAGGTTGAGAAGGCCCCGAAAGCCGGCTCTTACTCATATGGGGACTCTGTTGCCACAGGCCGTGTCTTAACCTGTACTTTAGGGCAACATACAACGAGGAAGCCTTTTTTGTGAGAACCAGGGTGAACCCTGGTTGGTAGCCTCACAACTGGAGGACTTACCACCATGCTACAAGCATGTTTTCAGCATGGTATACAGTAATCAGTCTCCACCCAGCTCAATATTTCCTTTTGTCATGTTGCCAAGTAATTGAACCATATTAGTTGGCTCCAGACGTAATCATATTAATGCCATGCTGTGGCTATGAACTTGACATCCAAAATTTATGCAATACCTTATTGGTATAAAGTAGGTGCATACAAACACATATAAATAGTTTAATATGATACAGAAGAAAATTGCCATCAAATAATTTATACAATTGGGATATCTGGTAGACAAATTTTTAGTATAATATGTGAACAGTAAATCCAGACAGGTTGGTAGCCATCAAATAATTTATACAATTGGGATATCTGGTAGACAAATTTTTAGTATAATATGTGAACAGTAAATCCAGACAGGTTGGTAATGGAAGCTACGAGCTAACGAGCATATAGTATAGTCGTTACGCATGGTACTGTAAGGCTGTGTTCTTCCCACAGTTTTCCCAACTCACCTCTCTCGTTTTCTGCGCGCACGCTTTTCAAACTGCTAAACGGTGTGTTTTTTGCAAAAAAAAATTATATACGAGAGTTGTTTTAAGAAATCATATTAATCCATTTTTCAAAAAAAAAGTTAGCACTTAATTAATCATGCAATAATACGTGCTTCGTTTTGCGTGCCGGGGAACGCAGCCTTCCGTAACATGGATTACTGCAGTACTGTAGCAGGGTGCTGCAGCAAGGACTATAAAGGTTTCGTATTTCCCAACACGGATATCCATTTCCATAAATAATTATTGATTTGTTACATAGATAACTTATTAATTTCTTAGGATTTTTTTTTTGTATTTTATGAAATGCTAATGTTAATAAAGGAAAATAGCAATAGTTGGTACCTGTTCCAAGCATCTCTTTGAATTTCTGTGTTCACCAGCCATGTAATATGCATTTGCAAGATTAACCCATACTGATGCAGCTTTAGGATCAGCCTTCACTGCTGCAAGTAAGCACTCTTTTGCAACAGCTAAGCCTTCTTTCTGATGCAGACAAGAGCCTGCACTAACATTACCACCTGACCCTGATTTGTAGTGAAATATTAGATATAAGCAAATTAAGAAGTATTCATCAATAAACCCTTGTAATGATTACCCTTGTTTTGGAGTTTTATATTGGTAAGTAAACAAGTAATGTTGTTAGCAAGTCCAATAGTGAAATCGATTTGGCTATAGAATCAGGACACCGGGATAACCGTGTGGACTAGATGTTTGCACAGTATGCCCTTCATGACTCCCAATTGATTTATGGGTATCACAGCATATCTCCAACAGTTTCACACAGTTCAAACTTTGCTCAGCTAAATAATACTGAGAGCGGCATGATTCTAAAATGGCAATGTGACTAGTCAGCATGTATACCATGATAAGAAAAGCATAGAGAGCATGACAATCAAGTTGCTGGAATACCTGCAGCAAAAGATCCATATTTACAGAGAAGGAGAGCTGCATAGTTCACCAGAGCAGCTGGGTGGTTTTGATCTTTTATAACAAGTTCTTGAAAGCATTTTGTGGCCAGTTCTAGATTCCCACTGGATATTCACAAGTGTTAACAATCAGAAGGAAGAAAACGGAAGTCGAAATGATATTTACCGTTCAAACCTTTGAATGTAGGCAACACCAAGATTCGCAAGAGAGTCCAAGTAATCTGGAGCAACAACCGTCAGAGAAGATAAAACTGAGATAGCACTCTGTACATGATGAAAAAAAAAATCAGCAAACAGTTAGTTCATTGACACTTCAGTCTAGATACTGATCAATGCAAACAAATGCAAAAGTTTTAGTGCATCAGTACCTGAAGCTGACCACTACGAAGAAGAACCAAACCAAGGATATTCCAAACAGCTGCCTGTCTGGGGTCAGATTCAACTGAACTCTTCATTTTAACAAGGATTTCATCTAGTTCACCAGATTCAAGCTCTTCATCAAAAGTGTCACCCATACTTGTTTGCAAAATGCACTGCATTAGGAAGTAACCGAGTCAAAGTGTGACTAAATAGTTCTAATTATATAGGCAACCAGAGAAAAGAGCTGATTCTAACTTCCAAGAATATAAAGGAAGATCAAATCACGAATCGTTGTTAAGCTGGTGCACCTGAGCATGGTGTATCCTCACTGATGAGAGCAAATCAGGCCTTCGAACTTCTTCTTCATCTTGTAACAATATCTCAGATGACTTCTCATATGCCGCTATTGCCTGGAAGATTTCTGCAGCCAATTGAGCTTTATGCAGAAAATAAATAACTTCAATTTTTCAAAGTGAAGATTCATTCACCTTCTGTGGCTGACCAAGCCTTTGGTACATCAAACCCAACATAAAATGTGCATGGGCATTTTTAGGCATCTTCCGTGCCACATGTACCAAAGCCTGCAAAAGGACGATCCGGTTTTAGCGATACGTATGCTGACTATGTGCATTCAAATCGCCATGGGCATATTAATTAGGATAATGTAATGCTAAAAAAAGGCCTGCATGATAGTAAATAGTATTTAAATACCATTTTGTTTTCACTTAGCTACTGCATGTAAAGTTGCATATACAAAAGGGATACGAAATTATAAATGTTTGTTGTTCAGTGCCATTAAGACCAGCACTTACAGCTTTCAGGTTGCTAACTTTCTCTTCGCGTGCAACAGAAGCCCCTTGACAATGTTGATCAGCATCTGCTAATGAAGAACAATAAATAATCGATTCACAAAAGAGAACTATTCTTCAACTACTTTGCATGTCACCTTCGCATTCAACAGTATCAGGTTCCTTCGTTGTGATCACGCTTTTTGCCAAACTACCCTCATCATTGCTACTCCTGTGAACACAATCAGCTAGAATCAATGACCAGACACAATGGAGAACTAATAGACCATAACTTCTAAGCCAGAGAGTTTATCAGCCCAGTGATATTTGTTTAGAGCAGTGAGATAAGTGCTATCAAATATTATCTAGTGTTGAACTTTGTACGAATTTTAGAAGTAATAATTAAGCTTCGGAGTTAAAATTTACAGAATGATCCTATGAAATAAATTCAGCTAGCAACGAAAATCTAAAGGATGGCTCATTTCAGATGAATACGCCAAACAAAAAACATGCCATGACAGGACTATTGTCCCATAGACGCAAAAATCACTTTGTCCTGTATAAATTCTAGGGTTGCGACAAACGACCATGAGGGCCGCGAATCTGACGTTCAATTCCAAACTACTTCAGGGGACATGAGGGCACAAGCAGAAGAAATCATGTACGGTCAGATCGAGAATTAACTTCGTGCGCGTACCTAGTGGAGGAATCGATGGCGACCACCGTCGCCGCGGTGACGGCGGCGGTGGCGGGGTTTACGTTGGGGTTGGGAGTTGGTGGTTGGTCCTCGCCGTCGCTCTCCGGCGGGTCGACGTTGAGGTCGGCTAGCATGACCGGCCTCGGCTGCTACTGCGGCGGCGGCGGCGGCGGGGAGACGGGGGACGGCGAGGCGGAGACGCCGGAATCTCTCGCTCTCCAGCTCTCCCTCAGTCCTCTCTCTCCGTCCTTTCGCGTCGCGTGATTCGCTGTTTTCTGTGGGCCGGCGATTGGTTGGCTTGGCCCAACCCAAGTAACCAACATTCTTTCTTATAGTTAAGCATTACTTCTAAAAAAGAATATTGGATTAACAGGCTCACAATTCTGACCAAAAGGTTGAATTTCACCAAATTTCGAGGTTTCGACGAGGCTCGAAAGTAGAAGCCGTTTGAGATTTCAATGAGTTTCATCCAACTTCAAATTTGAATTGATAAACAAGGAAACAATTCAATAAAATCTTATAAATAGTATGATATTCATATAACCTATTGAGATATAAATTTTCAAAAAAAATTTGATGTATTCCGTGTAGTTACCGAACTTTATACTAGGAAAGAAAATAATAGCGAATGAAAAAAAAACGAAAACACTTTCAATTTATCTCTTTTTATAGTTACCGGTTAAAATTTCGATGATTTCGCTCAGAATTTCGCCAAAGCCGACCGGTTTTCGCGAGCTTATCAGTAAACTTAGATAATTTTCTATTCAAATTTTGGTTTATGTTCCATCAAAGAAAAGTTCCATCCAATAAACAATTGGTTTATGAAATTTGTTCGAAATCTATCGGCTTTCCATCAGATTTCGTGAAAACCGTTATTCCGCCAGAGCCCGAAACAGAAGGCCAACTCAAGTACCCAACATTCTTTTTTAGGAGTAATGCTCAATCATAATTATATTGAATTTGGATGAAACTCATCAAAATCTCAGACGGCTTCTACTTTCGAGCATCGTCGAAACCTCGAAATTTCACGGAATTCGAACGTTTTTCGTCGGAATTATGAACCCTATATGTTACCCATTATTATTGTTTAGGATAAAACTTCACTGGAAACAGAAAAACAATATGAGTACATTCATCTCGAAACAATAGTAGTATATTCAACTCGAAAAAATAAAACCAATACTGTATATGCATGTCAATGTTATTGGTGGACAACATCAACAAGGAAGAAAAAGGAAATGGAAGTTCAAGTTTAGAGAGCTGTTTCTCAAAAAAAAAAAAGTTTTTCAAAAAAAGTTTAGAGATGTTTGGTGATAGGTAGGTCGGCGTGAGGGCTTCTCCAAAATTCTAGTCCGTGTATATTAATGGTTTTATAGCGAGATAAATATCAGACCAAATAATATAGTTCAAAACAAATCATAGAGTTTTCCGAATTTTAATCAATTACATGATGTGGATTAACACATGAGTATAATTATATGTAAATAATTTGAAATCAAAATTGCATGCATGGAAGTCTTTTTGGTGCAATTGTGTTCTTATCCTTGCTCTACAGTTCAATTGTGATTTTACCCCTGATTTTTAGGGTTTATGATTTTTCCCTAGTTTTTTGAAATGAAACAGCCACATGTCCTTACTCTGTTAACTCATGGTAACGGTGTTAAATGTGTAGTGAATGGACAAATATGCCTCTACTATTGAGATCAACGACATGGCGGCTGCGGCAGTACGGCGGCGGCGCACGAGCGAGTAGCAAGCGCAAGTGGCACGCCGATTGGGCGAGGTGAGGAGCAGAAGACGCCCGGGCTACTCTAGGCGGGCCGGTACACCGTGCATCAGGCGTCGGGCGCGGCTTCGCGAAGCAGCCCAGCACCCGGTGAAGCTTCAGCTCCGGCGGCAGCGCGCGAGCAGGTGGGGGCGGAGCCCGTGACCCCGGCAGGAGCAGTTCCAACGGCAGTGCGTGAGCTCGCGGCGTCGGCATCCCTGGCAGCAGCACGCGAGCAAGCGAGCATCTCGTCCATGGGCAGCTAGCTAGCAACTTCTCTTGTTTCTCCTTTTCCTTTTCCATATATGTTTCTCTCTTTCTTCTTCCCCATCTTTGCAAGGAATTCATTTGGTGATCAAATATTTTCCTGGTGAATGTGATGAATTCCCTGCTCGCTGCTCGCTGGCCGACGGAGCCGCTGATCCTCTTCGCCGCGCGCGAGGATGCTGCTCCTCTCCGCCGCAGTTGGCCCACCGCCAGCCGCCTCAATTTGGGGAAATCGTTCCCAACAAGTGGTTGGCCCTTTAAGTAAACCAAGGGTAGGATAGTCATTCACAAATTATAATATTATTTTCTTTCTTCATTTAATTAGGAAATTCCGGGCCTACCAAACTACCATCAAAACCAGGGGCAAACGGTTGTTTCATTTAAAAAAGCAGGGGCAAAATCACAAACCCTAAAAAATAAGGGTAAAATCAACTGTGAAGTAAGGGCAAAAACACAATTGCCCCAAGTCTTTTTCATGAAAGTGGCACGGAGTTGAAGCTGATATCCCGACGAGATCTCGATCAGCAAAGGCTTTAGAATCCCCTCAATCATCGCAACTGTTTTTCTTTTAAAATTTAGAGAAGCTGATTTTGATTTTTTTTTATAGAAGCTGAATTTGAACTTGAATATTTGTGAAGTGATATATTGTATTATAATCTACTTATTTTTTTTAAAAAAAAAGAACTGTAACTGGTTGACATGTCCGTCTATACAAGTTTGAACCCGCGGTGGAAGGGAACGGGGAACCAAGCGGAATATGCGCTTTTCTGCATCTGCCTGTCGCTAGCGTCAACTCTTCCACGGCGTCTGACGGCGATACATGCAGCCATGCAGGTTGCAGGACGCTCCAAATACAGCCCCCAAGATGCTGTTGCTGCTGCTCTTCGTCGCAAGCTCTGAATTACTCGCTTGGCTTGATCACTTCTCCTACTATGTACCAAGTATCAACTGAACTGAATGGTCTTCTCTGCTGCTTCCATGAAGCTCATCACCACCGAACCATCGATCGAACAGAACCAGGTGCACAAGCAATCAAGCAACCACTGCCACTCGATCAGTCGATCTGCTGCTCTGCCTCCTCTTGATCCTTTTTGTCTCCACTCTGCTGCCTGCAACTGCATGCAAACACTGTGCAGTACAACCGTTGCAAACTGGAAAAGAAAGATTAAGAACTGGGAGAATCTGCTTGGCTGCAGGTGCAGGCAGAGGAAGTTGATTAAGTGATTAAGCCGGTTCGATAAAACTAATCCCTCTACCAGATCGACATCATTAACGTGGCGGTTCCACAGCAGCTGTGCATATTCTATCCGGCAAGTACAGGACCTGATCACATCGATGATTAACCAATCTAACTTGAGCAGCAGCATCCCCAACCGAAAATACTGTTCGTCTGTGCAAGCAAGCGTACGGCGTACCCTCTCTTCTTTGTCAGCAACGAGATTAGAATACGGCATCGGAGGCCCAGCGCATGTGCTGTATCCGACGTAGCAATCATCGGAAAGGAGGAGCTGAGATGGATTTGCTTTTGCGCAGAGACCAAATCCAAATGCATCTGATCCTGTGTTCTAGGTGCGTCTCATGTCGGCTAGATTACAAATCAGTAGGGGCATTGGCGCTGGGGGATGATGATCTGAATGTCTCGCTCCATTTCAGCACCCTCACATGCCACTGTCATAAGTACATACACAAATGCATTTTTTTCTACTTATATTCGATCGATGCAGCTTGGTAGAACGCGTTGTTTCTTGCTGAATCTTTTCCAATTATGATAATTCGATTGGGACAACGATTAGATATGAACAGTTGAAGTAAGAAACTGATAGGTATATTCTTGCGTTGCCGTGCCTTGCTGAACAGGAGACAGATAAACCAACTGACAACCGGTGAGCGGTGAGGTGAGGCAATTCATGCAAAGGCAAAGGCGGAAAACCGTGTTGCGGTGTTGCCACCCACCCATGTGGGTTCCAACCGCCGCTCGCAGCTAGCGCTAGCTGCGTCCGCTCCCGCGTATTCAACCCCATCCCAACCGGTCTCACCTTTTCAACGCTATCGCCGTCTCGGGCGATGGCTACAGGTGTCGCCTCTCAAGGCTCAGAATCAAGAGGTTTTTTTTTTTTTGAATGACTGAAAAAAATTTTTTTGAATGACTCGCACGAGACGGTGTGAAGTTCTATTGATAGAGCAGGAAAAAATTACAAGATTACAACCCTGAAGGGTCGTAACCAGGAAAAAGGAAAAGAATAAACCACCACCCACACACCGACAACGCCAACACACAAGACCAGGAGAAAGCTAGCACCGGACCGGCCGCCGCTAAGCGTGACCGACCGCCGCTAGTCTAACAAAGGAACACAAACGAGATCGCCCCCTAGGGAATGCCAAAACAACGTCTTCAAGAAGAGAAGCGACGGAAAAACCGCCGCCGCCGTCCGTCGTGGCCCAAAGGAGCCAGGACTGGGCTTACGCCCGGCAACCAGCCTTGAGGGGTGAGACAGCACGACAACGCCCTTAGGAGGGGGAATGAACCATCATTGTCGGTCCGGCCAAAGCCGGGTTAGGTTTTCACCCGCCGCTCACCACCTGCGAATCCACGGCTAACGCCCCGATGATCCACCACCACACAAGCTCTGCCAACATGTGGGACCCCTGCACCGGCGCCCCTCGCCAGCCAGCCTTCATGCGCCGAAGACCGCGCCACACCCACCAGCAGCTCCTCCTCGCCCCGAGGTCGCCTCATCCACCGCCGGCCGCGCCTCTCGCGCCAAGCCGGCCTCCATCTCCACCGCCCGCGCCTCTCGCGCCGAGCCGGCCTCCGCTGCCATTGGTTGCGCCTCTCTGCGCCAAACCGGTCTCCGACCTCTCCTCCAAACGATGCCGCGCCAGCCAGATGCAGTCGTCTGCCACGCCCTCGACTAGCCGTCCGAGGCCGTCATGCCTCCGGTGACTGCAGTCACATTCACCACTGCAGCCGCTGTTGCCGTCACCAGCCGCCATCACTAACCTCCTCCCACCGTCGTCTGCCGATGCCGTCGTCACCAGCCGCCGTCGGCAGTGCCGACTCTGCTGCTGTCAGCCCCCACTCCACGCCCATCGCCGCCGTCCAAGGCCCGGCATCGCCCCAGCCAGATCTGGCCCGGGGAGGCCGGATCCCGCCGTGTGGGGGCCGAATCCGTGGCCGCCCTCGCTGGGGCGCGCCGCCGCTGCCCGTGCCTCCATCGACCCCGTCGCCATCCTCGCCTTGCATCCACCGCTCTGCCAGCTCTAGCTGTAGTGCCGGTCTGCTCCCGCCCCCGCCAGGCGCACAGCAGGCACCATCACCGCCACTGACGCCGACGCCGGCTGCCCACCCGTCAGATCCAGCCGGACCCGTCGGGTCCGAGCGCGGAGGCTAGCCGCGCCGCCGTCGACACCGCCGCCAGCAGCACCGGTGTCACACCCTAAAGTTCTTTCCCAAGCCTAAATTGAATTTATAAATCACCTAGAGAAAATATCGGTGTAAAAGCAAGAGAGAAACCCTAATAAATTTGTCGGTGACATGGGGCCGGGGGTATCGTGACTAAAGGCTTGGGTAGCCGTGGTCACCCACGTGGCCTGACCCCCTCGGGGGGTCGGGCCCGAGGGTGACATGGCCACCCCTCCCTCTGTCTCCCTGAGGGGTCGGGCCGCTCCCGTTTCGGCCCCGAGGGCTGGGGCGCCCCGACCCCCTGTGGTTTTGGCGCCACGTGTGTGGGTTAGGTGAGCACAGCGGCGCTCACCTAACCGCATTTATAGCGGGTTGGACAAGCGCGCCACGCCGCATTTAATGCGGCGCAGCGCACGCTTATCCGGGCCGTGGCCGGTCGCGGTGTGTGACCGGTCACAGACCGGTCAGATCGCGGGTTAGGTGGCAACAGGCGGCCTGTCACACGCCTCGCCCCGTCCCGTCAGAATGATGAGAGCTTCTTGGCTCTCGTCCCTAGCCGGAGCCGGCGTGCTAACTCCTGGAGTTGGTATGTCAGTCCCGGTCAGATCCATTCCAGGCTTCAGCGCAAGTATGGCAAGGAAGTCGCTGGCCATTAAATGAAGGTTGAAATGGGCGTCCACCGGGGAAAGCGGACGAGCAGGGCAGGAGGCGTGTGCTCTGCTTGTCAGAGGTCACTTCCGGCTGTAGACGAGCCCTCATTGTAAAAAGCATGTTTCCTTTCTTAGGCAGTGAGAGGCCCATGTGGTGACCCCTGACCAGATAAAAAGGAGGCCCAGGCCTAGGAGAGGAGGGGGACGGATGGGTTCTAGAGCCTAAACTCTCTCTCGCTCTCGAGCTCTCTGTATTCCATCACACACAGATCCACCAGAACACAGGAGTAGGGTGTTACGCTTCTCAGCGGCCCGAACCTGTCTACGTCGCCCGTATCTTGTGCGTTTCCTCTCTCGCTGACGTTCCTCAGATCGAGGGCGAAGAACCTCACTTAGCGCCCCCGGCCGAACCGGCAAAGGGGGGCCTACGCGGTCTCCCGGTGAGGAGCCCCACGCTCCGTCAAAATTAATGCAAATAATAATCGGAATTGGCATGTGGAATTTTCTTGAGTTCTACGTGTCGAAATATGCTAACAAGATTTTTAGTGGAATTTTCAGAGCTCTAGAAATAATTTTAATCAATTAAAAATGAGCACAAGCAATATTTAATCCCATGAAAATTCTTTTCCCCCTTTTTCTTTTCCTTTTTCCCCTTTTTATTTTTCGAATGGGCCGCCGGCCCATTCTCTTCCTCCTCCCCCTCCTCGTTGGGCCGGCCGAAGGCCAAGGCCCAACTGAGCCGGCCGCCTCCTCCCTTCGGGTCGCCGACAGGTGGGGCCCACTTGTCGGGCCCGTCTCCCACTTCTGGCCGCCCGCCGTCCGCAGCCGCCACCTCGCAACCGCCCGCGCCCGCTTTCCCCGCGCCACGTCGGCCCCGCCCGCGCGTGCGCCCGCGTCTCCCGCGCCCACTCCCTCTCGTTCCCGCTCGCGCCTGCGCTCGAGACGGCCGGGATTCGATTTTCGAATCCCGCCTCTCTCTCCACCTCCACCACCCCACGTCGGCCGGCGAAATCGGGCCACTCCCGGCCACGTCCGAGCCCCCTCTCTTCTATTTAACCATCCCCGCTATCCCCTGTCCCTTTTTCCCCATTTCACCGAGCTCTCCCGTGCCCTCTATCGCCCTAGCGCCGTCGCCCTCCTCTCCGCCGCCGCCGCTCCGGTAGCCGCTAGCCGCCACGCCGGGCCGCGCCGTCGCCGCCGTCGGGTTCGCAAGCCCGAGGGCCACGCCGTCCGCCTCTCCGCCGCCGCTCCGGTAGCCGCTAGCCGCCACGCCGGGCCGCGCCGTCGCCGCCGTCGGGTTCGCAAGCCCGAGGGCCACGCCGTCCGCCTCTCCGCCGCCGCTTTCCGCCGCGGGAACCCCGTTCGCACCGCACGCCGGTGAGCTCCACCATGGCCGCCACCTTCGGTCGGCTTCCTCGCCCTCTTCCATCTTCCTCTCTCTCTCTAACCCCTTTCTTCGTGTTCGCTAGGTGGTTCCGGAGCTTGTCCCGCCGTCGCCATCGCCCTCCGTCGCTCGCCGTCGTCAATCGTTGTCGGTGAGGCCCCTCCTCCCCTCCTCCCTCTCTCCCACGCCGCTTAGCCGCCACGCCGCCGCCGAGCCGCTTAGCCGCCGCTGTCGCCGTCCGCGTCGCCGCGACGTCGCCCCCCTCCGCCACCGGCCGGTCGCCGCCGCTCGCCGCCTTGCGTCGCCGTAGCGTCGCGCCGCGCCGCCACGCTCCACGGCCGCTGGGTCGGTTTGAGCCGTGCCCGTGCGCGCCCGGCCGCGAGCCTCCTCCGCCGTCTGATCTACCAGGCGGTAGATCGGGGCAGTCCATTTGGCCGCCCACGTGGCTGCCGCGTGGCCACCGTGTCGGCGCCACGTCAGCGCCACGTGGTGTGCCACTCCTTCCCCGGCCTGTCGACCCGGTCCACCGTGGACCGCCCCCCCTCGCGTCACTGCCTTGTGGGGCCCGCATGTCGGCGCCGCCCTCTCTCTCCCCGGGATTTTAATTATTGCGCAATAAATCAATTAAGGATTTTTCTGTTTATAGTAAAAACACAATGAATCTTCTAAAATTTATATCTAATTCATCCGAGCTCCGTTTAAGCCCATTCAAGTCTCAGAAAATCAAGAAAAATACATAGAATCCATTAAAAATGGTTTTGTTCTCTATTTCAGTAGTCTTATAGCCTGTTTGTATTGTTTGCTTTGTATGTCGCTTAGATTCCGGCTCTCCCGACGCTCTGGTGTACTTTGAAATAGTCGCCGAGGTTCCTCCAGCAGCAGAGCAAGGCAAGTCATGCTTGTCACTTGAACATGTTGATCCTATATTGCAAATGCTCTACCGTTTTCCCTTAAATACTGCATTGTTTTATAATGTTACTATGGGATGTTTGACTACTGTTACAGCCATACTATTTTGTACCATGCTTCTTTGTTAGCTTGGGATATAAACATGACTAGAGATTGGACTAGGGATTGCTTAGCCTTGCTTAGTTCAACTAGCACACAATGGGGAAAATCACATTAATGCTTAGACTTCAGGTTCTAGTGTTGGTGTTGGATTAAGGCCGCCGTCCTGGTGTTAGTCAATTAAAATATACATATGGTGGGCTGTGGGTGCATGGTTTTGATGGTCGCGCCCATGGTACTTAAGGACCGGTTCGCGGGAAACCCTGAAAGAATTCCTCGTACTTGCCACAAGCCAGCGTGGGCAACGGCTGGGCTTGTAGTGTAGCTTTCCTTTAGCTGATGCATCTAGGCAAGGGTGGGCGTGATGGAGTTTGGATGGGCCCTGCGACGGCCTATGCAGCTTCCGGATTCACCTAGGCACGAGAGGGGACTGCCCGCTGCCTTGCGAGGAGTGGGGGTGAAACCTGAGGTGTGGTGTACTTGGTTAGAGGGGGTTATGCGAAGGGTCCTGTCACGGCCTCTATCTGGTATGTCGTGGTGGCATGTCAGCGCACGGGAACGTGTCGTGGGACTGTGTCTTGTGGATACAGTTGTACACCTCTGATCAGAGTAAAACTATTCGGATAGCCGTGCCCGCGGTTATGGGCGGTCAACCAGATTCACTGTGATTAGTCTCACCCTAGTCTAGTCTATTAGAATTAATTAGTTCAGGTGGATGGTTGGGCCTGTTGCAACGTGGAGTAGCGTTGGACAATGGATGGTTAATATTGATTAATTATTACAACTGTTTTACTGCTTTCAACTACTGTTTATAAATGCTCGCTTTATGCAAAAGAACCTCTCTAGCTATCCTTTGGTAATACCCTGCATCATACCCTCTATTCCGGTATGACTCGCTGAGTACGGTGGTTGTACTCAGTCTTGCTCTATTTTTCCCAAACCCCAGAGTTTGAGTACGCGTCAGATGGCGGTTTCTCCGAGGAGTAGGCTTCGTCCGTGCCGTCGAGGATGCCTGTGGAGTGGTGTTCCCGCTGCGATCCAAGTCAAGGCTTAGCTCCAGTTATCTTTTAATTTTCCGCTGCATTTATGTAAGACTTTTATAATGTTTGTAAGACGTGGATCTGTATGTCAACTTTGTCGTTTGTGTACCCCGGCCAGTCCTGGACGGTGGTTTTAATGCACATTCTGCTTGGAATTCTATTCGGGAATTTCTGGGCGTGACGACTGGCCATCGCAGCCATCGCCGGCATGGCCACCGCCGAGGTCGCCTCGCCGGAAACGGCCGTGCGGCATGGATCTGGGCGGGAGGAGCAACCCCCACCGTCGACGTCCTGGTGCCCCACTCCTTCTAGCGCCGTCGGGGGAGAAAAGGGCCCCGCCGCCGCCATCCTTGCAGCCAGGCAGCTTGCCGGCGGGCTGCTCAGGCTGCGGCGAGGTGGAGGAGAGGGGGGAGGGAGGGAGGGCGGCGGTGGCGCGTGGAGGTCGCCCGCGTCGCCCTAGGGCTGGAGCCCGCGTCGCCCTAGGGCTGGAGCGACGCGTCAAGAGGTTTAGTTTAAGAAGGGATTAGTTAATGCGCCGGAGTAACTAAACAATGGGTTTTGAGCTTAATCTCCAATCATTTTCCCTTGGGCGCGCGCACGATGGGCGGCCATGGGGGGCCTGTCTCTGTCTGTCACGACTTAACCTCCTCCCTGCCTTGTCCTCATCGGCGCTTCTCCCCCTTTAAAATCTTCGCTCTCTTGCCAGTCTCGTCGCGCAGAGCAACCAGAGACCAGCAGAGGAAGAGAGATTGTGAGACAGAGAAAGATCAGGAGAGGAAGTAGTAGCTGAAATGGTGAAGATTCCGAGCCCGAGGAGGCTGTTCAGGAGCAGGTCCAAGAGCATCGGCGGCGCCGGCGGCGGCGTCGGCGCGGACATCTGCGCGATGGTCGCGGAGCACGAGAAGATCGAGTGGGAGGTGCGGCCGGGCGGGATGCTGGTGCAGAAGCGGCGGGCGCCGGAGGAGCAGGACGACGGCAGCAGCAGCATGTCCGCCCACTCCGGCGCGGACGCCATCGTCGTCAGGGTCTCCACCGGGTGGCAATGGCACGACGTCTCCATCGACTCCACCGCCACCTTCGGTGCGTCCCACATTGCATTGCCTCGATTGCCATTCTCCTCAGCTGATCATACTAGAAAGGAAATAAACTGAGCTGTTCTTTGCCATGATCGATGCAGGTGATCTGAAGGTGATGCTGTCGCTGGTGACCGGGCTGTGGCCGAGGGACCAGAGGCTGCTGTACAAGGGGAAGGAGAGAGACGACGGCGATCACCTGCACATGGTCGGAGTCCAGGACAAGGACAAGGTGCTGCTGCTGGAAGACCCGGCCGTCAAGGAGAGGAAGCTCCGGTCGACCACCCTGGCGCAGCTCATGGGAGTGCCCTGCCATTCCTTCATCGAAGTCTAGAAATTAAATTAAACCCGCCATTTTGACTTGTTCTTTTTTGGTCTGCTTGCAAGAGTGACACCACGCAAAGATCCTTTTTTGTTTCCAGCTCAATCGTCTAACTGCATTGTTCGGAGTCACTGTTCCATTTCTCGAGTTCGAGGGTAGTCTGGATTCAGCCGATTGAATCGAATCGTCTGCACCAATAGTCCAATACGACACAAAGACATAATGTAAATTAATGTAATTAGATAATGTCAGTGTGTGTTGTGTATTATTTCAGCTGTAATACTTCTTACCCCATGTATATTCTCCTACTGCAATTTGCAATACAGATTATATGATGCACCCCCGTCTTCTTGTTGACCAGTTTGTCAGCTACTGCACAACTAGCCTCTCGGTCGTACGTTCCCCATCTTTCTCTCTCTCTCATCAACTCGTACTGATCGTACAATAATCCGTGGTAGTTGAACGGCATTGTTGGTTGCTCGATTACTTTTTTCCCAACACAATGTACTGTTGCATACCTGCTATTCAAGTGGCAGTTAACCGACCCAGGTCGCAGCAGGTTTACGGCTACCAAACATGTAACGCCAGCCTGCACTGAACTGCCTAACCTGGACCGAAGAAATACTATTGCACACCGTAATCAGTAGTAGAACTGAGCACTGACTAAAATTGCTCGCGGAGGCAATCGCTGATACTCTGATAGCACGGATAAGATGGGCATTTGCAAAATTCAGTTTCAACGTACTGGTACTGCTTCTTCTACTGTACCCTGAGCTCCCTTTTCAGGCTGTTATTTTCTCACATTTTCTCTTGGATTAACATGCCAGTGTTAAAAGTAACATTTAGCCTTTTGATCATTGATCAAGTAGCAGTACATGATGCTGGACCGTGGACAGGGGCATGAATGAAATATTGAAATCTAACCCGTAATCCACCGAACTGTACGCGCGGGACCTGGAAAAAACAGATGAGACGACGCTATCAACCAGCGGTCCACCTGTCCCCCTGAACTCGTGCCGCGAAGAGAGGAGCGACTTGAATGCTGATCTCACCGGCGGCTCGACCTCTCGGCCAAATCCGTCCCCGCGCGCGCATGTGCCGGCACTGACCGTGATCAGCGCGACGCGGGGTCGTGGCAGCGACGGCCGCCTCCTGGTCCGGTGGTCGTCGACCCGTCCACTGCGCCCATTAAAACCCGAGGTGGTCGGCAGCGAGGCGGGCGGAAGAAAAAACGACGGCAACTTGGCTATCTCATTCTCGCAACGTGCGTGCGTGCGTGCGGGCGGGCGTCGCGGCTTATCCGATCAGGAGGAGGCCCGCGGATTTGGCCCCAGGTCGGCAGCGGCATGTGGCCATGTGCGAGTGCCGAACGGTGCGTGCACCGGGGGGCGGGGCGGTACGTAGCTGAGCTACCTGCCGGGCGCTGCTGATGGCTGGGCTGGTGCGGTGGTGGTGCCGGTTTATCGGTTCGGTGCGGTGCTGTGCGTGCGTTCGGTCGGCGGAACGTGCGCGGGCTCTTCAGTCTTCACCGTTTTGGGCACTCGCGTTGATTACGGGGCTAATCAAATCTCGCGTAGACGACGTCGTAGCCGTGGCCACCGCTAGCCGACCGGACGATGCAGCATTGTTTCTGCCCAGCTGAAGCGCACCAGAGTTTGAAGGGGGCACCCGATTTTTAATAGACGATGTTGTTAATTTTTTTACACACATTTGACTATTATTTTTATTAATTTTTTTCTACAAATATAATGAAAAATGAAAGTCATGTTTTTACAATAAAATAAATAATGATTTATGTAATCATTTAATAGATATAAATGGTTAAAAGTGTGTTAAAAAGTCAATGCATTATCTATAAATAGATAGATGGCAGTAATTAGTTAATATGCAATTAAATTTAGCGTATAAAACTTGTACTAATAAATTCATCACACTTTAAATTACTTTCAGACAATATTAGTTTTATAGATGGTAGAATATTTTATGTTAATAATTGTGGCAAAGTTTAGGTCCTGTTGCCCATATTTCTAATAATTCAAAATGGTTTATTAGAAAATAATTAATTTATGGATAAAACTTTTATATATGTATTTTTAGCGACTTAAAAACAAGTAATTATAAAAAAGGAAATTAGGTTGAAAATATCTTAAATTAACTTTAAAATTAGATTTGAAAATTCAAATTTTGGCTTTGTATTTAGCTTATTAGGGAAACCGATGGGGCTCTTAGTATTAAAGACTTTCTAAAATAAAAATATATGTTATAAAAAAATTGAATAGGAGGAATACTTCTCTCTCTCTCTTTCATTTTCAACTATAGAAATTGGATACTTTGTTTTGTTGGGCCTAAATGGTAAGATGGGCTTTAAGCCGGGACACTTCGAGACAGGCCATACTTGGACCTAACGTAGTGACGTTGCCACCGGGGCCCAGCGTATCCGGACCTGTAACAGATAAACTTCTTGGGCCAGGCCTTCGAGCACGCTCCGCTCCTCCGCTGCTTGGTCACCGACCCCTCGGAACGCCGTTCATCTGAGAAAGGATGGCGGTCCTGGCGGAGATCGCCGGCGACGAGTCCCCGCCGCCGCTTCCTCCTTCCGAAGGCGGCGAAGCTTCCGGAGCCCCGTCCACGTCTTCTCCCTCCGATGCCGACGGCGGCGGCAAGCCTTCGCCGCGCACGTCGAAGCCCGGCAGGAAGCGCCTCGTCCTCACCGCCTCCGTCCTCCTCTCGTTCCTCATCGGTACCAATCCCAACGCCTCCACCAGCTGCTAGATTCTAGGGTTTTAGCGATTTTTTTTCTCCGTGTAACACGCTCGTTTATCTCTCTGTTTCTCTTCCTAGGGCTGCCCTTGCTGCTCAAGTCCACCGAGATCCACCGCTCGCCGCTGCCGTCCGACGCAATCGCCGCCCTATCCCGCCGCCTCCACTCCAACCCGCCCTCGTTCCCCTGCGGCCTCCATGCGGTCTTCCTCCGCTCCGGCCGCGACCCCTCCGAGGCCTCCGTCGCAAATCGCATCGAGCGGGAAATCTCCACCCAACTCGTCGATCTCCCTGACGCTTCCACCGCCGGTAAAATCTCCGTGTCAGTCACCGTTGAGTCCGCTGGTGGCTGCTCTAGTAGCAGCAAAGTCGCCTCGCCTTGGCGATGTGGTGCTGTGACTACCGCGGACTTGGGGCGCGGCGATGAGGTGTTTGATGAATTGCTTGACTCGGCATTGGGTGATGGAGGCGGGGATGGGATGAGGGTTTACACTGTTGTCTTCGTGGACAGTGACGATTTGAAGAGAATTGTCATTGGGAAACACCGGCATGCTTGGGTGGTCGGGAAGGTTGATGAGGCTGAGGTTGTGTCCATCATTGGGAAGGTATTCGTCAAGTATTTCATGAATGGTGGTGTCGAGGAGGGCGAAGCAAGCACTGTGAAAAGAGAGTTCATGCCAGTTGGATCAGATGGCAATATAGTTCTTTCATTTAGCCTGCTGAATGCTGATCCAAGTGATTGGGTGTATGATTGGTAAGAACAAGACATGTCTTATGTTTGTCTTATTGTTGCTTCTCTGTTATATAGAAATCCACTTTATCAGCATCGTTAACAATTGTCAAATGATATCCCTGTCTCGTTCTATGGTAGTCTGTTTAAATCAAAGAAAATATACTGGATTGCATCTACATTTCTTAGGCAATGTGTAAAATGTCAAGGCAGTAAGGCTGTGGAATCGCGCTTATTCGATGCAATCGATGAATATATTGTGTATTTGGCATCTTGCAAAGATGAAAATTATTGTCAAATTATTCCTGCTTCTTCATTGTTGTTTCTTTTACATTTAGATGTCCTGCATGCAGGGAGTTTGAAAATATTGGTCAAAGGATGTTGACTCCTGTTATTGAGGCGTTACGACCGATTGCGAACATTAATATAGAGAGTCAGGTGCAAAATTGCCTATTTTGCTCAATGCTTGTTTCTTCCATCGTGTGAAGCTGTCAATGTTGATAAGTACTGACTAGTCCTTTTGTTTTCAGGTTTTGTACCACACACCAAAATCATCCTATTCTTATTCTGATGATAAACTTGGTGGCAATGTCCTTAGCGTGGGAGACATTCCTTTCTTTGTATGTTTCTGAATTCCTCTGTAGAAGTCATGTAGCCATGATGGTTGCTGCATACTACAGTTAGCTGCTGTTAGTGTTTATGACATTTAACTGTTATAGATGCACTAATTCAATATGCAATGAAATTGATAGGTTAATTCAAATGAGTGGCACTTGGATACATCCATTTCAGCTACAGGACGATCAAAAGTTCTTCAATTTGTGGTGTATGTTCTTTAGACCAGATTGGCATCTTTGTATTTAATCTTACAGTTCACTCATCCTGAACAGATAATGGAAAAAAAAGCAGAATAACCTTTCTTTTCTATGACTGCGCCCTGCCACTCCATTTTATCTGTGTTCTATGTTCAACTATATTTCCTGTGTCAATCTCCTGATGGATATTAAAGTGATTCAATGATTTGGTCTTTCTTTTACTCCTTACTGTGAATCTAAATATCGCAGACTACCTCATTTGTTAATTGAGATTTATGATTTACAAAGTGTACAACAGTCAGAAAGTATTACTGTGATGTTCTAATTACCATATTTCATATTAGTTATATGATCAGTTGTGGATGCCCATATACTCATTTGAATTGTCTGTGCAATAACCACCAGATATATTCCATCAGCAAGGGAATGCCCTTTGTACCTGCAACTTCCAGATGGGGAGCTTTCCAAAACTAATGCATTTATATCCCCAGTAAGTGCTGTTTTACCTATCTTCCTTTTGTTACCCATTTTATCATTTTCTTAACAGTGTGTATTATGTTGTGCAGATGTGGGGAGGTGTTGTTATTTGGAACCCACCTGGCTGTTCATTTGGTTCTAAGCCACATGGGGCCCTGGACAAAATGTCATCTGAGGTGTCTGTAATCAATTTATTGCCCTTTTTATATGATAGAATGTACATATTGAAATGTCACAGTAGTTAGTCTGATATACCTTCTTGCACTCATTATCTGCTGAGTGCTGACACATCTATATGGAACAGGAACTCATGGAGACTATTGAAATCTTCATAGGACAGCTAAGGCAGTTATTTGGTCTAAAATCAAGTTATCACACACAGAGTATGGATGGTGTAACTAAGTTCATAACTAGTCCAAAAGGGTTTGCCCAATGGTGAGACTCCCTCTATTTCCTTACTAAAATTATCTCAGTACCAACTCCCGCTTAACTACGCACATTAGCTGGATGCTGACACATGCTACATGCTCTCAATTTGAAAAGCAACCATGAACTATTGATTCTTTAATCTGAGATTACATTAGTTATCTGCATCTGACATGATGATCAATAAAGCTATGGGAATTTTATCACAAGCCACATGCATAGAGGATCCCGTAGAAATATTGACAAAATACACATGTATGGACAAATGTATCCACATAGGATCCAACCAACCCAATTTTTGAGGAAGTCTGAGACAACCACTAGTCTACAATCATCACCATCTCCTATTGTAGAAATGAAAATATGTTGTGTCATTGGATTGGATCATTGGACAACATTTTTCTTCATGAAGATGTTCTCAAAATTGTAGTGTTTATATTCTCAACTCATCAATACTGTAGTCTGCAGTATGCAATAATATGCATCAATCAGGGTGGACTTTTATCAAAGTTAGAAGATCCCAACTACATGTCAACAGCTGAAATTCTAAATGTCCCAGATAAGATTTTGGATGCTATATGCTTGATTTCCATATGTCTCATAGTAGGTTTTTAAAACTTACAAGTTTAGTGTAGTTGCGACTTTAGAAGTCCATCTATCACATGTAACCTCTTAAGGCGCTAAGCCACTAACTGTTACTATCTTGACCCTTTTTTTCCTCAGGGAATTGGATTTATTATACCGGCACCATGCATGTTCCAATCTTTTGTCCTGTCTCACCACCTTGGAATCCCTTTCCAGTTTGGTATGTAATAAATTCTTGATAATACATAAAAGACTGTTCTTCATGCTGTGCATGCACTAATATTATTATTATTATTATTTTTGTAGGTCCAATCACTCCCCAGAATGATTGTTATGGATGAAATTGGGAGGCAGGTTTGTTCCTATTACATTCTTGCCAAATGGTAGTAGCACATAGTTCTGCATAGTAGTCATTTTTTTAAAAACAACTTTGCACCTTCTTTACTACAAGGTCTCGAAGCAGCATATCACTCAGATGATAACTTGGGCATGTGTTTCGTCTGCCTTTTTTTTTTTACCATTATGTGTACTTTGCAAGCTTGTACACAGTTATATTCTGTGGATCTAGTGCTTTACAAAATTAATTTCGCACTAAGTTTGTGTCATGGTCTAAAAAACATTTAACAGAGCCTAAATTTGTTATGACAAGTGACATCTCTTTGCAGGTTGAGCTTTCTCTTGAAGCTGCAAGTTTAGCTCAAAGAAACGCAAGCCTCGGAATAAGTGACTCTTCAGCAGGCACGTTAATCTTTTGTTTGCACTAAATGTAAAAAAATGATAAATTTTATCAAGAATTGTGCTGTTCTGCAATTTTATTAAGAATTGTGTTGTTCTGCAGTATCTGCAACAAGAGCGAGGGCTTTGGCTGAGGATGCATTTTTTCATCCATCTGTTATGTCTATCAGTTATGCTTCAATAGAGCACTATTTTGCGATTTACATGGTCAGTATACTCTTCTACTTTACACTTATTACAGTCCAATTTGTGTTTGACACTTCTGAATTCTTTCTTTATCTTGGGCAATATAGAAAACTGAAAACAAAAGAGTTAACTATTCTCCGGTTTTAAATAGTGAGGATTAGAGCTTAGTAGCGTGCAGAGCAATAATTTCTTGTCCAATTTGTTTAATATCAACATGCAAGTTTTACACTAATTGCAATCCCTTCAATTCTAGAATTTTGCTTTATTATTTCTTTTGATCATAAAAGTAACTACTTTAGATTAAAAAAAATTACATTGTAGCACTTCAGAGCCAATACTGATATGCTTCGAATTGGCATTTTCTGCAGCCATTCTTTGCGCCAGTTTCCTTGCATGTGCTGTTGGCGGTAATGAAAGAGCTGAAACGATACATGGTAGAGAGAAGGAAATATTCAGCATTTCTTGCTTCCCAGGCGACATCTTCCTGATCTTTTGGTGATTATCAGCAGCCCTGTTTCATGCCTAGTACTATCATCCACACCAAGTCTGATATAGATGGTAGATAATCTGCAACGGTTCAGCCACAGCTGGGGGACGCGTCTTCTTACCATCAAGCAACTGCTGGGCAGACAGGTAGACCAAATGGTGTGTGCCTGTGAACTCGCAGACCAGGTGAAGATGTGAGGGAACCCAGTTTTTGTCACAAATACGGCGTTCTTCCATGAAACCAGCTTGGTGAGGCCTTAACTGATCGTCGGGTATCATTCACATTTTTTGGTGAGGCCTTAACTGATCTCTGAAACTACAGACCGCTATCTAAAGCCAATGCATCTGTAAATTGTTGTATAATTTGAGAGCGCTTGACAAACTCCCCGCAGACCAATGTTGGATTAGCAGTTAACACGAACTTTTACGGGTTTGATGTGTGTGTTCACGATTGTTTTTCATCTGCAACGCATGCATGGGATTCCCCCTCTCGTCCTACAACGGCACACCCGGACGAAGGAACTACCCGTGTGGCCGTAACTGCATCCTCCGGCCTGAGAGAGAGAGAGAGAGAGAGAGAGAGAGAGAGAGAGAGAGACCGCTAGAGTAACATGTGCGAAAAGACCTGCACCATTCGGTTAATACAATTTCCAAATCATAGAAATAAAAAGTTAAATGATTCGGATAGGACATGGACTTCAATCATTAAGAATTTATTATTTTGTACAAGAGATCTTAAAAATTATATGAAATACTCCATCCGTCCTAAAATGAATAAAACTAGTACTACAAATTTAGAACGGTACTAGGTTTTAGGTCCTTTTTAAGTTCCCAAATAAAAATTTTCACTCTGTCACAAAATGTTTGGACACATGCTTGGAGTATTAAATATAGAAAAAAAACTAAATTGCGAGAAGAATCTTTTAAGACCATTTGCTCCATGATTTGACAATGTGATGCTATAATAAATATTTGCTAATGACGGATTAATTAGGCTTAATAAATTCGTTTCGCAGTTTACAGGCAGAATATATAATTTGTTTTTTTATTAGTTTATGTTTAATACTTCAAATTAATCTACGTTTAATACTTCAAATGTGTTTCCGTATATCCAATGTTACACACTGAAAACTTTTTACCTCTGGAACTAATCAGGGCTTTAGTTTATTTAAGTTTGAGATGGGGAGGGTAAGGTTATAATAGGATTACAATGTAAGTTTACAAGGCTACAATCTTTGAAATTTGATAGGAGCTATTTCTCCGGAACGAACGAAGCATATATGGAAAAATCGTAATTTTTCAATACTACGATATGTAATATTTTGAAAATTCTTTTAAACCTAATGAGCCCCGTATTGTTACCGTGGCAGCCTGGCAGGGTGCAAGGCAACCACCGGCGTCCAGGGCACACCGCCGCTTCGCGACGACCGCCATCGGCAACCGCTCGCTGTCGCTGCAGTAGACTAGCGCGGACGCTCCCTCCCTCCCTCCATCCCAATCCGTCCCCTTCACTTCACTCCCATTCCCATTTCCTCTCGCTCCCACCAAGACCAACCAAACCCCTGTTTCTCCCTCAAAACCTCCCTCTCTTTCCCCCCCGAATGCTCGAGCGCTGCGCGGCGGAATCCCCTACTCCCCTCCGATGAGGCCCTCGCCGCCTCCCGCCGCCCCGGCGGCGGAACCGGTGCCCCCGTGGCTGAGATCGCTGCCCGTCGCGCCCGAGTTCCGCCCCACCGCCGCCGAGTTCGCCGATCCCGTCTCCTACATCCTCAAGATCGAGCCCGCCGCGGCGCCGTACGGCATCTGCAAGGTCGTGCCGCCGTTGCCCCCGCCGCCGAAGAAGGCCACCTTCTCCAACCTCTCCCGCTCCTTCGCCGCGCTCCACCCGGACGACCGCTCGCCGTCCTTCCCCACCCGCCACCAGCAGGTCGGCCTCTGCCCGCGCCGCACGCGCCCGGGGCTCAAGCCCGTGTGGCGGTCCTCCCACCGCTACACGCTCCCGCAGTTCGAGTCCAAGGCCGGCGCCACCCGCAAGTCGCTCCTCGCCGGCCTCAACTTCCCTGCCTCCAGGCAACTCACCCCGCTCGACCACGAGGTGCTCTTCTGGCGCGCATCGGCCGACCGCCCCATCGTGGTCGAGTATGGCAGCGACATGTCGGGCTCGGGATTCTCCCCTTGCGCCGCGCAGCCGCAGCCGCCGCCGCAGCAGCAACCGACGGCGCGGGCGGCGGCGCACCTTGGGGAGACGGCGTGGAACATGCGCGGCGTGGCTAGGAGCCCCGGATCGCTGCTGCGGTTCATGCCGGAGGATGTCCCCGGGGTCACCACGCCGATGCTCTACGTCGGGATGATGTTCAGTTGGTTCGCGTGGCACGTCGAGGACCACGACCTGCACAGCCTCAACTACATGCACCTCGGGGCCGCCAAGACGTGGTACGGCGTGCCGCGCGACGCCGCGCTCGCGTTCGAGGACGTGGTGCGCGAACATGGCTACGGCGGGGAGGTGAACCCCCTAGGTGAGGCGCTTGAAACTATCAATTTTCATTAGGAACACGCTATGCTCTGTTTTCCCAATTCTGAATTGGTTTTCCTGAACTGCGAGTTGGTATGCAGAAACCTTCGCTACATTGGGGCAGAAAACAACAGTGATGTCCCCTGAAGTGCTTGTGGAGTCGGGTATCCCCTGCTGCAGGTGTTATTTCCTTCTGTTTGTTCAGTAACTAGCCAAATTTCCCGTGCAATTTTGCATGGAACTAGCTTAAAGTTTATTTGATGTAGAATTGCTTTTGGTATACGTCTTCTGCTTCTATTTCTATAAATACAATCTATACCATTATAAGTTGAACCCGACATGATCAAAGCATACATATATCTCTTTTCTCAGATTATTAATGTTGTGATTTCTAGGCCCTCAGTGAATTTGGTGGACTCTTTTAGCCTTCTCTTTATTAATAATATATTCCATAATAGATAGATATATTTTCTATGGTATGTGCCATGTCTACCAGTGGTTTGATTAATTGATTCTCTGTGTTTGAACAGATTGGTGCAGAATGCAGGGGAATTTGTGGTCACTTTTCCAGGATCTTATCACTGCGGTTTCAGTCATGGTGAGACTGAGCAATCACAATAGCTAGCCTCATTTTCCTATGCTACATTTTGTACACAATTATTCCTGTTCTAATCATGCCTATGACATTTTTTTTCATCCCTAACTGCATGAAATATATGTCTTACACAGGGTGCAATACCCATAGAATGCCAACCTTTTATTGAGACATGCCTATACCAGGAAAACTTATAACTCTTTTTTTTTTAAAAAAAAACATGTGTATACCATGTGCAGTGCAAAACAAATAGGTATTCTATCTACTGAGTTAATCAGATGTGATTGCAGGATATTGTGTAAAAGATTTGAAGTGTTTACTAAAAATAGTGAATTAACCTATATTTGTGCTAAACGTCTGCCCTACCCTAGTACGTTACAACTATTATGATGTTACCATTTCCTGAATTCGATTGTTCATCTTGACACGGGCACTCTTCATTTCATTCCAGCAACACAGGTGTACTGTGTGCAATATGCAATTGCAAAATGTGTCTCTGTTGTAACCACTGCAATGCACTTGATCACTGCCTCTTTCATATAATTAATCTAATCAACCTCATGACTCATGAGGGCATCATCTATTTGGGCAGGATTCAACTGTGGGGAAGCATCAAATATAGCTACTCCTGAATGGTTGAGAATAGCAAAAGAGGCAGCAATCCGAAGAGCTTCAATCAATCGTCCTCCCATGGTTTCGCACTATCAATTACTTTACGATCTCGCACTGTCTATGCGTTTTAGGTATGTCATAATTTGCATGTTTCATGATGTGCACTTGTTCTTGATTTCTTGTGAGAGATTCTATCAACTTCTGCCCCCCATAAAATACTTATCTCACAGCCCAGTTTGGCACTTTGGCTATGGCGCATTTCTTCTCCCTGTATTAACTTAGAGTACATTAGAGTAGATTTTGGAAAACCCTGTTTCATGACGTGCACTTATTCTTGATTTCTTGCGAGAGATTTTGTCAACTTCTGCCTCCCAGAAAAATACTTATCTGACAACCCATTTTGGCACTTTGGCTATGGCACGTTTCTTAATCACTGGATAACTTAGATTATGTTAGAGTAGATTTTAGAAAACCCCATGTTTTTGTGAAACCTTAGACCATAATACCTAGGGGTTATATGACGTAAGCCATAATACCTAGGTTTTTTTTTCCAACTTTGATGGCATGACCTTTTTTTCCTTAAAATAAATCATTATGCTATCAATAAAAATGGTCAGCCAGTTAGTGCAGAATCAATAATTTCCATGTATTGACCTGTGCACGACTCTGCTCAGTGATGCAAGTATCCCCATTCCCACGTATGCAACATCAATAAAGTCTTAAAATATTCCACCGTAGTGTCTTACGGTAGCCAAGGTTTTTATGGTGATGCTTCAATCTGTTAGCGGTTAGCGATGTATATGTGTTATGAGAGCTGCTTTCTGACAGAACTCTTTTGATACTTGCTGATGCTATATGAAAATAAGACAATCTTTTTTATGCATTTGCCCCCTTCATTTTTTTATGGCAATCCTTTATCTTGTTTTGAACTTCTACTTCTTCAGGGAACCATCCAATGGTGAAATGGAGACACGGAGCTCTCGAATAAAGGAGAAGAAGAAATGCGAAGGGGAACAACTGGTCAAGAAGATGTTCATCCAAAATGTTATTGAAGATAATGAACTGCTTAGTCATCTTCTAAATGACGGATCATCTTGTATTATTCTTCCAGCAAATGCCCATGATGGTCCTGGTCTTTCTACTTTGCGCTCAACAGATCAATCAAATATGAATTCCAGAATATCACATAACCTATGCAGTAGGGAAGAAGCTCCAGAAGCCTCAGGATGCTTATCGCCGAACAGGAATGGTGATACCAGAAATTGTATTTCATCAGATACGCATAACATGGAAGGTGATAAGGGAGATATAATGAGCGCTACTGGATTGTTAGATCAGGGTCTATTATCATGTGTCACTTGTGGAATTTTAAGTTTTTCATGTGTGGCTGTACTCAAACCAAGAGATTCTACAGCACGATACTTGATGTCTGCTGATTCTAATTCAATTAATAACCAGCTTTCTATTTCTGGAGGGAGTATTCTGGCAGATGCGCCAACAAATGAAAGGAATGGTGTCATTTCTCGTAAGTTTTCATCTTACAATCTGTACTGAAGACATTTTATTTCTTACGCTCTTGTTTTCAGCTTATCTTATGTACTTCCACATTAAAAGGGTAGTGAGTTACTGATATTTTTTTTCCTTCTAAGGTAGTAAAAGAATTGCTATTAGGTGCCATAGATTATTGATCTATCATAACTAAGGAAAATTTACCCTGTACGAATTGGATGTTTTGAAACAAATAAACCTCCTTTATAACTCCATATCTAATGAAATGATCTATTGGAGTTTCTTATGTGTTTTTACTATGGGAATGAATGGACTGTGGTTCTATATTTGTTTATCTGCATTTGTGGTAGGTATAATCAGGTGCTTGTAGGGACATTTAATTTTCAGTTAATTTGGTGAGCCGAATGCTATTTACTATTTTGTCCATGTGCTTTAACAATCATTTTCATCTGATACAGTATATGCATTTGTAATCAACACACAGGTCCATATTCTGAACACTGTTGCAACGAAATAATGGCCGATGATGCAGAAATCGATAAGAATTCTGCTCTTGATCTCTTGGCATTTGCTCATGGGGGTCAACCAGATCCTGAAGAAGATCCACTGGAGAAAATACTGAAGATTGCACATGGCATTAACAAATCACAACCTAATAGTTCAAATAATGTTGGTTGTGTTGGAACAAAGCTGTCCTCAAGTAGCACAGAGCGCCAAGAAAGACCATCTTCCCAGAACGCTCATTGTAATGGTAGCTCAGTTATTTCAAATGGACCGAAAGGTGTTCGCACGAGAAATAAGTATCAACTTAAGATGGTACTTTCTGAAGGTTTTCAGGCAAAGGATATCTATTCTGCGAAGGAAAAGAAGGTTCAATCAGAACCATCAAGCTCAAAAGGGGATGTTAAGGAGACAATTGATGTTAGTGGCACAGAGAACGATGTCGGATGTAAAAGCACTACAATCTCTGTCAGTGAACACAGGGGTTCTACAAAGAATATGTATTCAGTGAAGGAAAAGAAGGTTCAATCGAAACCATCAAGCTTAAAGGGGACTGTTAAAGAGACAGTTGATGTCAGTGGCACAGAGAACGATGCTAGATGTAAAAGCATTACAATCTCTGTCAGTGAACACAGGGGTTCTACACCTATGACCAATAGTTTAGCTGCATCAATCGTGAAACCTGACAAGGATTCATCAAGAATGCATGTATTTTGTCTTGAGCATGCTATTGAGGTTGAGAAGCAACTGCATGCTATAGGTGGTTCTAATATTATGCTTATATGTCGTCCAGGTTAGTCATCAAGCTGTTTGCTCACTGTTATGAAGTGCAATTCATTTTCAACCATTTTTAAGCATTTTTCTGCATGCCTTTTATTGTTTTCATTGGTAATTGGTTCATAGTATGACTTAGCACTTTAGCAGTGACACCATATCTGTACACATGCCATCTTACATGATGTTCCTATTAGCTTTGCTGAAATCAGAATAAGTAGGTTGAACCTTTTGGTGCTTCTGATGTTCATAATACTAAATTTTCAAGACTGCTGCATATGTTCTTAAAACATTAATTAACTTTTTTTGTTATGATTTGTACAGAATATCCCAAAATAGAAGCGGAAGCAAGATTGTTGGGTGAAGAAATGGGACTGGTATATGACTGGAAGGGCATTCATTTCAAGGAGGCCAACATGGAGGACAGGCAGAAGATACAGGAAGTTCTGCGGGATGAGGAAGCAATACCTACAAGCAGTGATTGGGCTGTAAAATTGGGTATTAACCTTTATTATAGTGCAAATCTGGCCAAATCTCCTTTATATAACAAACAAATGCCATACAACAGAGTCATTTATAGGGCATTTGGCTGTGATTCTCCTAATGACTCGCCAGTAATGTTCAATACTTGCGAAAGGAAACAAAGCCACCAGAAGAAAATAGTGGTTGCTGGCCGGTGGTGTGGGAAAGTATGGATGTCAAAACAGGTCCATCCATACTTGGCTCACAGAGTTGAAAGCCAGGAAGCGGAAGAAGCAGATAGAATCTGTTCTTATCATTTTGATGAGAAGCACAAAGCTGAGCCAGTTGGGAATTCTAGTAGAGTGGAAGCCTCCAAAAGAAAGAGTAGCAGTTTGACAGACGTAACAGAATCAAGCAATAGAAGGGGGGAAATACCTGGTGAGGAAACAAACACCAAGAGGCCCAAACATTCTCAAGAGAACAATCTCAGAGCTTTGGAAACCGCTGCTGAAGTTGTGGTGCCCTCACCAGCTGGAACAGGTCTCCGCGTTAGCTCCAGGATTGCCAACAGGGCAAACAAGCTAAAATCAAAGATGGAAAAGGAGGATGTCCCTTCTAGCCGTCCAAAGTCTAACATAAAGGAGAAAAGCAGTCATGCTAGCGGTCAGAAATCAAATGTTCAAGAGGCGAATGCTAATTCTGCTAGCCATTTGAGAGCAATGCCACCAAAACAGAAGGCTGAAGCAGAAGCAAAGAAGCAAATAAGAACTCCAAAACCTCCAAAGCAAGCAGTGGAGTACTCGTGCGATATTGAGGGTTGTTCTATGAGTTTTCGTACAAAGCGGGACTTGTCTCTGCACAAGAGTGATATCTGCCCAGTGAAAGGCTGCGGGAAGAAGTTCTTCTCGCACAAGTATCTGCTGCAGCATCGCAAGGTTCACACAGATGACCGTCCGCTAACATGCCCATGGAAGGGCTGCAACATGGCATTCAAGTGGCCATGGGCAAGGACTGAACATCTCAGGGTTCATACAGGCGACAGGCCCTATGTTTGCCATGAGCCAGGTTGCGCACAGACATTCAGGTTTGTCTCAGATTTCAGCCGTCACAAGCGCAAGACAGGTCATTCTGTCAAGAAGAAGAAGAAAGCAAAGAGTTGAGCTCGTATTACAGCAAGCTAGTTATGGTAGAACCGGACGCAGTAGGAGGTAGTTTGTACATTCTACTTCACTAGTTTAGCACTGATCTCTCTATCTGACGGATTCTGTTGGCACCACAATCGGTGTGCTTTGTGTTAGTTTATATTAGTTTTCATGATTACTAATTCTCCTAGTTAGCCTTGCATCCCATCATATGTTTGATGTACTGACACCAGCACTTGCTTGCATGGTTAACTAGCAAATTCTAATGTTATCTTCTCTTTGTATTTACTGGTTGACGTGTGGATGATAACTAGATTCTGGTCACGTATGATTTTGCCCTTCTTGCAGGGGAAGAATCTGACTGCTGTCGTAGATCTGTTTGTGCTGTTGGGCTACCAGTTTTGACGATGCTGCTTTTTTGTTCTTTCTTTCTTTCTTTCTTCTTTTTTGGTGATATCAGGCCTCAGATTGTAGCCATCTCAGAAAAGAACAACGGAATCATAAAAGCCTTTGTGATCTTAGGTGCGTCATTCTAGGTATCAACAGGAGAGCCTCTCCTGCTGGATTCCTGAAGGGCTGAAACTGAAAGTGATTCAGAAGAAGGCTGCAGCCGCATCACAGCCTAGTCTGTTTAACTTGATCAATCCTCCATATCAAGCTAAACTCAATATCATTTTTTTTCAAAAACAAAATTAGCAACGTCCATAGAACTGCACTAAGTTCGTCTAATTACGAGCACCAGAAGAATTCCCGTGGGTAGCGGTGCGTGAAATTGGAGCAGCCTGAAGCCCTGAACCGTGAAAAACTGGGCTGTGAGACTCAGAGCGCGAACCAAATCTGTCATGGAGAAGATACTCCCTCCGTACTCGTAAAGAAAATCGTTTAGAACAATGTTTAAGTCAAACCTTGAGAATATAAATCATGAATAACTATCAAGTTGTTGAGTTTTAAAATATAAAAATTATATGAATAGATTTGTCTTGAAAAATAACATACATATATCACTTTTTAATGAATATTTTTATAAAAATAAGAAGTTAAAGTTGTGTTTTAGAGACCGTGTCGCTGTCCTAAATAACTTACTTTACGAGTATGGAGGGAGTAAGAGCTAGCCGATCAACCGACGTATCAACAACTCGGTGGTCTCTGCGGCTCTGCCTCATCGCAACCAATTCCTACACGCCGCGCAGGCGCAGCCCCTCGGCCTCCACGACCGCCATTAATACCGTCCTAGCCAAGCTACGATCAATCACAGAGCAAAGCAGCCATTCCTCACGTCACGTAGCCCGACCACCCAGTGATAAACTTCCCAGCAACCCAGTACTAGCATCCATAAAATTGCACACCTAAGCTAGCTACACTAGATTCAATCAAGTCATGAACAAAAACCGATCGATCCGTATTTGAATCTGGCCAGAATCTTCGACGCCATTGGCAACTCACGTAGCCCGCCGCTAACGTAGCAGCCGTCCATCCCAACTCCCTAGCTGAATCTGACACCATCGCACGCATCTTTCTGTTACCCCCATTTAAATCCGTCTCGTTTCCCGCCGCAAATCCCAGCTATAAATACGTCTCCTCCCTTCTCCTTCCTCCTCATCGCCCTCACCCTCCAATTCCAATCCCTCCCAAGAACTAGCTGATCACGACGAGCAGCTAGTCCACTGCTACTGCGATCGATCGGTTGCAAAGTTAATTAATTAGTGGCGATCGATCGATCATGGGGAGGGTTATTAGCAGCTGGAGGGTTCTTGCGGTGGTGGCTGCTTTGATGGCCATGGCGGCGGTGGAGCTGTGCGCCGCGATACCGTTCGACGAGAGGGATTTGGAGTCCGACGAGGCGCTGTGGGATCTGTACGAGCGGTGGCAGGAGCACCACCACGTGCCGCGCCACCACGGCGAGAAGCACCGCCGGTTCGGCGCGTTCAAGGACAACGTGAGGTACATCCACGAGCACAACAAGCGCGGCGGCCGGGGCTACCGCCTCCGGCTCAACCGCTTCGGCGACATGGGCAGAGAGGAGTTCCGCGCCACGTTCGCCGGGTCCCACGCCAACGACCTCCGCCGCGACGGCCTCGCCGCGCCGCCGCTCCCGGGGTTCATGTACGAGGGCGTCCGCGACCTCCCCCGCGCCGTCGACTGGCGCCGCAAGGGCGCGGTCACCGGCGTCAAGGACCAGGGCAAGTGCGGCAGCTGCTGGGCGTTCTCCACGGTGGTGTCCGTGGAGGGCATCAACGCGATCCGGACGGGGCGGCTGGTGTCGCTGTCGGAGCAGGAGCTGATCGACTGCGACACGGCGGACAACAGCGGCTGCCAGGGCGGGCTCATGGAGAACGCGTTCGAGTACATCAAGCACAGCGGCGGCATCACCACCGAGTCCGCCTACCCGTACCGCGCCGCCAACGGAACGTGCGACGCCGTCCGCGCGCGGCGCGCGCCGCTGGTGGTGATCGACGGGCACCAGAACGTGCCGGCCAACAGCGAGGCCGCGCTCGCCAAGGCCGTCGCCAACCAGCCCGTCTCCGTCGCCATCGACGCCGGCGACCAGTCCTTCCAGTTCTACTCCGACGGCGTCTTCGCCGGCGACTGCGGCACCGACCTCGACCACGGCGTCGCGGTGGTCGGCTACGGCGAGACCAACGACGGCACGGAGTACTGGATCGTCAAGAACTCGTGGGGCACAGCCTGGGGCGAGGGCGGCTACATCCGGATGCAGCGCGACTCCGGCTACGACGGCGGCCTCTGCGGCATCGCCATGGAAGCCTCCTACCCCGTCAAGTTCTCGCCAAATCGTGTCACGCCAAGGCGCGCCCTTGGCGCCAAGGAAACCCAGTGATCGAGCCGGCGCCATCTCCGCCGTACACGTGCCCGCCTACGAGCCTGGATCAACGGCTCTGGTCGCGTCTCCTCCTCCAGCTTGCAAAATGGTGCTATTATTGTTGCTGCTCTTTGTTAATTGCCTTGTGTTTATGTAATTCGTGTGAGGCGATCAGGGAAAAGAATTACCTGAAATCGTCTAAGTTACTAGTGTTATTTCGTGTGTGCTAAATAAGTTTTAGATGTGAGGTGAGGTCGATCTATCATGTAATGTACTGAACTTATATGTGGTGTTCTTCGTGGCACCGGGAAATATATATAAGAAGGTTGTTGTTATGACTAAGGTTATGCCAAATTTCATCCAAAAAAGACTAAGGTTATGCCAAATTTCATCCAAAAAAAAGTTATCTCAATTGCTTCAGTTTTTAGCTTGTCTCGCTGGGCGTTCCTATGACTTATGTGAGTTACGACTCGTGGGATTCGCAACCAAAATCGAAGACGAGAGCTTTGCAACCGGAGAGGAATTCGGCCTATTTGGTATTTTGGTCTAGCTAGCTCTGCAATTCGAGTGAGATAACAAAACGGCCTACATGTGGTGGGCTGGGCTCTGGGTAAGTGCTGCTTGACTTGTGAATAGCTATGTGGGCTGACGACAAGTGGACTACGCACTTTGACAGAAATAAAAATGGAAAAAGTCCAATCTGGCTCCTAATTATAGGTCGAATCAATTTTTCCTGACCACTTAAGGTGCACACGTCTTTTTTTTCATCAAAGAGAACCGTCCTCAAAACAGTAAGTTGTTTTGTATGACTTTAATAGTTTGAGGAGTCATTATAACCGGTTTTACAGTTGAAAGATAAAAAAAGATCCGATCTATATTTGAGGTGTCGAATTGGATCTATTTTTTTATTAAATAAAAGGAAAATTATGACTTGTTTGGCGTATGAACATATGGCTATCTTTCTTGCATCTAACCTTTAGCAAAAGAGTGCGTGGTTAGCCACAAAACTGTGACCACATCTTACAAGAAATTAGCAGATCATTTTTATATGATTGAATACCAAGTTATATTTAAAGTATAAAATACTTGAGTATAACTTTTGCTTTTTTTTCCACGTATATGTAGTACTGTAGTTATTTAACTATTTTGTATATACAATGATGTTGATCAATACACACCTTATAATCTTCACTCACCAGTCACCGCTACCAAACTTCGCATATCTTCTCTTTTTCTTTATCTCCAATCAACATCAACACCTATTCACCATCTCTTATACAGTTATACTGTAACTAATCTACTCAACTCAATCAAACGGATGGCATGCCATACGTGTGAGAGCTAAATGTAGACTTCTGCATAAAACCCAATGGCGTTTTTAACACTGAATGTCTATATAAAATATTTTTAAAACTTACACCTTAGAAATTTAAAACTGAATTCTATATTAATTTTTTTAACCTACTCCCTCCTTCCTAAAATGATCATTATATATATTTATATACCAAGACCAATGATAATTTAAATCACATCAATCAAGATACCATGCACATATTCTCCCACAATACATGCAACAATTAAAACACCATGCCAATTACACCTTAGCATCCACACATTCTCTCGTGCTGTATTATTGTATTCTGATGAAATCCGTATCCATATGGTTATATGATGATCAATTTAAGAAATTTTGAATTCTATTATATGATGATCAATTTTGAAGGAGGGAATAATAATTACGTCCACATTACTCCAGCTATATAGAAGAATACAACTTTACAGCGCTAGGGTAGGAAAATTGTTCTATGACATAGAGTAGGTAATTAATGTTGCCGCCGGCTTGCCGCCCTATAAATAATATCAAATTATGTGTGAGAGTATAAATGAATTTTTCGTCTTTTGTAATTAGTAATTAGGTTGAGGTTCTGTATGAACTGATCGGTGCACAATTTAACAGGTCAGCACAGCTAGAATTCTATCTCTTGCATGCCTATGCACTCTCTCCTTCCAAAAAAATATATATATATATGCTCGCTCTGTCCACATTCATCTCTAGGATTAGATTTATTTTGGGATAAACGGAGTATTACTTTTATCACCAAAATCAAATAAAAATTAACTAATCTTACATGTAATAAAGATCAAGAAGTGTATACATACATGTATGCTTATGATGACTTATCGGATTCTGATGAAACATTTAATTTATCTCTTCATTTAATTAATTATTCGACGGGTAGAAGCAACTTATTTGAAAATACTTAAATATAAAATAGATATAACTCTTATCGATGGAGGGATTGTTTTTTAGAAACAGTAATTTGAGCTAGATAATTTACAGTTTTACACGCCGATTTGGAGATGAGAGGCTGTGTGCCTGTGTGCATGCAAGCGAGCATGACGGCATGAGCACGCCAGCCCACGCAGCTTAATTGTGGTGACCCCCGGATCGAGCGACCGACCGATCGAC